GAGAATGAGAGACAGAGAGCATGAGAGGGAGGAAGGTCAGAGGGAGAAGCAGACCCCCCGCTGAGCAGGGAGCCCGATGTGGGACTCGATCCCGGGACTCCAGGATCATGACCTGAGCTGAAGGCAGTCGCTTAACCAACTGAGCCACCCAGGCGCCCCAGTTAGGACACTTTCTGAAGCATACTGCAACATAAACTAAAAGAGCAAGATGTATTTGATAGTGTTCATGAAAATGAAAGGAATTACTTTAGAAGAGTATGTAAGCTGAAAGGCACTAATGGATAACACTCGGTAAAGGCACTAATGGATAACACTCGGTGGAAAGAAATATTGTCTCTATATGGATTCTAGCGGGTATTGTTAATTTCAAAAATGTAATCGTTTCTTACTGATAATAAAGGCAAATACCAACCCTGATTAAATTGTCACAGATAACATCCTGAGTTCGTTTCTAGTGGAATGAAGGAGGTTATGCTTTCATGAGAACTGCTCATTTGTAACACCCATACATTAAGCATACACCGTAACACAGAGGCCTTTTCTATGACAAACACACATACGAATTTCTTATTTGTTGACCACGCTAATGAACTGTCCTTCTAACCTCATCCTGAAGACATAAGTAAAAACGAAGATGACAGCAGCCCTGAAGGCACAAAATTTAAAGCACAGGGGCCACGCAGGGGTATCTCAATTTAAGAAAAGGCAAAGAAAGCTTCCTTCGACTCTATGACACTTGGGGGGTCGGTGTTCAGGATTCCTACTTATGGGCTTCATCTGAGAACAAGAGGGAGAAATCAGAAAGAAACTGACACAGAGAAAGAAAAGGCGAAAAGTATGACAACTTTGAATACGACATTATTTTGTTCTAAATGGATGGCAAGACGCCCAATGAGAGTCATGAACTAATTTATAAATAGGGAAGAGGCTCCTTGTAACTATTGTCACCTAAAATCAACATTTAAACACACTGAATGATCAGACAAATTGTGAATTCACTTTACAAAGGGCAAGGTGCCTTTGTGGATATTTGTGTCTTGGCCTCTACTGCTCACCACAGTGGCACAGAGAATGGGGCTTGATTCACACGTTCACACCCAGAAAGAACACTTGCCTTGTTCACCAGCACCCAAGTCATAGCTGACTATAAAGGTTTGGAAAGGTTTGGGGGGGGGGGGGAAAAAACACCCCTGCTGGGAGTAAAAGTAAAATATAAGATTTAGCATAAAAGCCTTAAGCACATACACCTATTTAGATAAAAGATTTAAGCATATAACATAGACGGGAAATTAAAATTTAGCTTTCAACATCTGTACTTAGAATCAAGGTTTTAAAGAGCAGAGCTATTTCAGAAAGCAGGCGATGCCTATGGTACAAATTAATCCCAGCACTTTCTCCCACATTCCCTTTGTGCATGGACATCTGGGAACCCGAAGGAAGGCAGGGAGAGTAGACAGACCTTCTTTAGGAGAGAAGTTGAGGAACTGATCCACTTCATGAGGCTCCAGCTTAATTTTAGGAATAACGGTCTGGCACAAGGAATCAACCTAGAGGGAGAATTTCAAACACAGCATTTAAAAAAATAAAAATCAGTAAGAAAGGTCAGGGTCTTGGCCTTGCTCCGAGTGGACCCAAGACCCTGACCTTTCTTACTTACATACTAAAAAATCAACTGAACTAACATCTTGTGGGGCAAGGAGACTAAGACACACTAGGAGCCCAGTGCAATGAACAGATCCAGGCAGTGAACGAGAAAGGCATTCTAGAGCGCAGCTGCAGAGGGGCTCTGTCCACAGTCCCCCATCTTTTCCAAAATGGATTGTAAAGAGCGCTAAGAACAAGTGTGCACCGAAGCTTTGGCAGTTCTGCTGCTTCCGTGCGACCTCTTCCTAAACAGGTACAGGTAGATAGGACACCTTGCTCAGAGGAGATCTGACTTAACATCAGTGGAGTCACTGCTTATAAACCTTTGGCTCTGAACTTTAGGAAACTCAGGACTGGCTTCCAACATCTGGAAGAAAATGTCCACGTATGATATCTGGTCCATCACTGGACACTAGAAACACCCAGAGAGAAGGTGGGGTAGGCACGTAGGCATGGAATCGAATAAGGAAGAAATGCCCAATTTTGTATGTTTTCCATGCATAATACAATAAAAGTTGGTAAGTGGGAGATCCCCAAATTGGGTCAGGGCAACTCCACACTGCACAAGAAAGGGAAAACATTACACAGGACAGACACTTCCATCAGCCCCGGCATACAAGCCAAGGATCAAATTATCATTTAACCCCTCTCTTTCCACTGGCCTAAAAATCAATCCCATGGGTAGTTTGGGGTTTGTTTTAACCATGGATATCCATCTATTTATCTTAATTTTGTAACAGCAATCATTGGAAAAATGAAATCGGACTTGCTACTAGTTTTCTGAACAATGCCTTTAAAGGAAGTGGTATAATCAATGCTGATCCCAAATCAACATATCCTTGATATATACATACATACATATGCAATTACATATTTGGAAACATCTAGAGCCACTAGTTCCAAAAAAGGTTAAATGCCTTATTGGAGAACGAGGATCCGTGTCTTTTGATCCAATGTATGTGTAGGGAAGAAAAGTGAGTATACCCCAGTATTCATTTCCAGGGGGGGTTCCTCCTTCTCAAAAGGGGTGGAGATGGCAGTGATGGTCAGAGTGACAGAGGGAACAAGTCCTGGGGGCGGCTCCTCTGTAATTGGCTCTGTCTTGATGGTTGTTGATGGAAAGTCTGTAGACAGGTACCATTTCTCACTTTCCACTTCATCTATGGGAAGAAGACAAGCACACGTATGAATCTGGTCAGGGGTATCAGACATAAGTAAAACAAATGACCACTGATCTTGCTCCTCAAAAAAAGAGCTCCAACCAGGAGTTACTGAGCATAGAATAAGAGGAAATAAAGTGAGGATGTGAGAGAGGAGATCAATGGATAAAGAAATGAATGGCCAAGTAAGAATCTATACTTGTATTCACTTTGAGTACATGTATGCCTAAAGGAACCTCAAGGATCCATGTAAAAGAAAGAAACCTGCCTTCCTGGTCAGAGCAGGAAGGAGACTGGGTAGACAGGGAACAGGACAGGAGGGAGAATCTCAATGTGTGATGCTTTACACTTTTTGGTTTTCAAACCAAGTGACTGTGTTATCTATTTAAAAATAAGTACACTTTTTAAAGATGTATTTATTTATTTGAGAAAGAGAGAGAGCGTGGCTAGGAGAGGGGCAGAGGGAGAAGGAGAGAGAATCCCAAGCAGACTCCCCGCTGAGCACAGAGCCCAACATGGGGCTCGCTCTCATGACCCTGAGATCATGACCTGAGCTGAAATCAAGAGTCGGATGCTTAACCAGCTGAGCCATCCAGGTGCCCCAATAAGTACATTTAAAATTAAGAAACAGGGGCACCTGGGTGGCTCAGTTGGTTAAGCGACTGCCTTCGGCTCAGGTCATGATCCTGGAGTCCCTGGATCGAGTCCCGCATCGGGCTCCCTGCTCGGCAGGGAGTCTGCTTCTCCCTCTGACCCTCCCCCCTCTTATGTGCTCTCTCTCATTCTCTCTCTCTCAAATAAATAAATAAAATAAAAAAAAAATAAAAATAAAATTAAGAAACAAATGGTGTGTAACCAGAGTCTCAGGGAAGAGGACTGGAGACCATGGTGAGGTGGGCTCTATTCTTCTCCCAGTGGACAGTTAGTTGGTTTTCTTTTTTTTAGTTTCTTCTCACTCCCTGTTTTTGTCCTCGTTTCCCTATGACCCCACTTATGCCTTAAGCCTGACCTAGACTTCCAGAACTTTACTTAGCCCTCTGCGAAACTTCAGAGTTTGTAACAAACACCTGCCTTTACTGAAAATGAACCAAATATCTAGAGAAAAGAGCTGGATTTTGTCAAGTGTAGATCTGGGCTCGCTACTGGCTTTCATGATGATCACAGGCCTGGGGATCGGGACAAAGGAATAAGAACAGACAGAAGCACCTCTACACTTAATGCACATTCTTCTAGGAGCTTACATCCACCTGTTTCTTACCAAATTACTTCAGAGCTACTAGCCAAGCACAGCCCAAAAGGAGGGAGATGGGCAGGAAAAGAAAAGACAAGGAGATTGCAAACAGATATAGAACAAGAAAAAACAAGTCAGAAATTCCCCAAGTCAGCATTCCTTATCTGAAACCATGTTTACTAAAATGAGGCTAAAATAAAGCAAAAATACGTTCCTTGCTTTATGAAAATGTTTAAACACACACACACACAGACAGACACGGTTAGTGAATCATTACTGTACAGAAGAGCAAAGTCGTTCCCATTAGGCAGTGATTTTACACTCAAGAATTGGACTCAAGCTTTCTTCAGGAAAGGTACATGAAGATCATTTAGAACTGCTAGAGATGGGGAAAGAGTGGGCATAGAAGCTAAAAATGAAAGTTCACAATTATTAAAATTGTGTTTCCTAAGCAACTTCCTTGAAACCCAAGAAAACGTTAGATTCAGATGTACAAAGGAAAATGATTTGCCCCTCCAAATCCAGTTTATAATTGACGTGATTAATTATCCCAGCCCCGATTTATTTCCTGAGGCAAAGTAAAGATGGGCAAGATTTCGGTTGGTTGAAGATGTTTTGCTTTTGGAACTTGTTCTATAAAGCTGCTGAGTGCTATGGTGTGATGGGAGAATTTCCATCATTTGCAGGGTGCACACCACATCCTGGCTGAGGGGGAGGGGTAGGAAACAAAGGGCCTTTTGATGGCGGCCAGAGGAGAGAGACCATACTGTACTTGACACAGAATTCTGCTGGCCAGATGGGCACCCCGCTCAACTTAGAGAAGCAACTGGATGAAGAGCCAAGTGAAGATTCTAATGCCTCTCCCAAAATGAGCATAAGAACAAGAAAATTCTGTCACCAGCAAGGAAGACACACTCAGGACAGATCTGGGAAGAGCTAGAGAGACGGAGTGCACAGATTACACTTTCTCTATTCAGCAATGACATATGGATGCCTTTGCTTTGTGAAGTCAACACTTACAGCCTGTCCACACTGAGCAGTATTTATCCCTGCCAGAGACTGGAAGAGAGATAGTAAGATGCAATACAGCCTCAGTATATATTAAAATTAACAGTAAGGAGGCATCATTGAGAAAAGGTCACACCAGGAAATTGTGAGATAAGGCCAGATCCCCAGGCTGTGCACTTATATGACTACTGTAATGAAGCTTAATTCACAGGGGGAAAATAGAGGCAAAAATAAAAACAAAAAGCAATGCAAAACTATAAGACAAAATGAAGACAGGTAATGCAGTCAGTTCTTCCAGTGTAGCTAAGCAATCCTCAAACATAGGACAGGAGAGTTGATATTCTTAATGCTCAGTGTCCTACAAGCCTATTTTAAAATTATATATATAATCATTGCTATATCAGGAATGGAGACTGAAGGATGAACAATGATACTTAAACTACGAAGCAAAACCTCCTCTCTCAAAGACACTGAACTCTTCCAAGTGAGAAGCCCAAGGAAGTTGCCTCTTTTCCCGTGAGTTTTGTTGAGGACAAAACACTGGTGTTGCCTTTATGCTTCCACTCCGATAAAGTAATTTATTACTCTAACTTGAAGATGGTTTTTGAATCGGAAAGAAGTTTAAGGCCATCAAGCTCAAATACATCATTTTATAATGAGGCAATTGACACATAGATCCAGATCACACAGCAAAATTGTGGCAGACCCAGATCTCTGCACTTCCAACCAGTAGTCTTTCTGTAAAAGAAACAACTAAAAATGTAAATAAGGATTTGTGCACAGAATTGCTTACTGTTGCATTATTTATAATCACAAAACACTGAAAATAACCAAAATAGTAGAGAACAAGGGCAAGGTGAACAAATTATGATGCATCCATATGTGGAACATTTATGCAGACAGTAATATTACACATACAAAGTCTTTTTAATAACAAGGCAAAGAAAGATTTATTATAGACTATTAAGAAAAAAATCGGGATATTAATTTATATACTATTAATGAAGAAAGTGATAGAAAAAAGGCTGAAAGGAAGTATATCAAAATAGTAAAAATATTTCTGGAAAAGAATTCAGAACATGAATGACTTTTTTTTTTAGATTTTATACGATTTCTAAATTTCCTGTACTGGGATATACTGTCCCTGGATAATCGCACATGGACATGGCCTGCTTCTACCTGCTCTATTTTACGATGCTTTATGATGGTAATTATTATTAGATAGAAGCCCCAGTGGCTCAAGGGGGGCCCATTCAGAGTCCCTTGACTCAACAAGAGTCAGTGACTACTTTCATATTTGTTATAAATTGCATAATTGGCTTCAGGTCTATAGTCACCCCTCTATCCATGTCCACTGCCATGCAATTTTGCAGTGCCCTCCCACTGTGGACTAATCCCCACCTCGGATTGGCCACATGACTTGCTTTGGCCTTAGGGATGTTAGCTTCCTAACACAAGTAAAGTCTTAAAATGCACTTGCACAACTTGTACTTTCGACATCCTAATGAAAAGGATGTGCCAGGACAATCTACTGACCCCAGGAGAAGGAGGGCAGACATGTAAAACAGAGTTTGCCCCCCAAATGAGCCTGACCAAGATCAGTCAACTCCCAGCCTTAAATATGTGAGTGAATCTGGCTGAATCTAGGAAAATTACTCAACTGTCCCCCACCTAAAGCAGCCAACCTCCAGCCAAGGCACAGACATATGAGCTATAATAACAAATGATTGTGGTTAAAGCTAGAGTCTTGGGGTGGTTTAATACACAGCAATATAGCTGACTTACACAATCTAGCTGAATGTGTAAACAAGAAATTAAATCCATTACATCAGAACCCATTGCGACAAAAGAGTTGCACCTACTTGCCATAATAATTCCTCTAAACCATCATTTGTGAACCACATCAATAAATTTATAGATCGGCTGATTAGATCTACCAGTTACATCATAAAATAATTGACTGCACATGAACAGAGTCAGCCAGTACGAAGTTCGGTGAGAACAGCATTCCATTGGCAGTTGACATCAGAGAAGAGTTTTCATCCTAAACTACTAAGTGTTGGCTTGTCCTCTGTTCCTCACTGGAAATAAACATCAAATCAGAGAAAACCAAATGACAAATGTAACCTCTGAGGCAGGGGGTTAACAAAGGGTAGAGTGAAAGGGAGTGAGCAGAACACGTATTACGATTTTCCACGTGACCTTATTTGTGTAGTTTTATTATTTGGGCAAAAACATCAGTAGAGCCACCATGGCTTAGAACTGGAATTATACTTAGATGTTTGAGTTATTGGCTAAACTACAAAAACAAGAGTCAATACACTCTACCCCCTCCAGTTTCTAAAACCTGAAGCTCAGATATTGAGTGAAAAAAAAGGTGTTTTTTTTCCTAAATTGTGTTTACCTGCCTTTTAAGTTTCACTTCGGAAGGAAAACATCACCCAATAAGGTCAGTAGTGCATACCACGGGGAAGAAGAACAACCCCCATATCATCTGATTTTATTTATAAACAGCTTCCTGTCAAACTCAACTGGCACATTTCCTCAGCATCACCACTTAGCTATCAGCAAGGAAATAAAAACAAGCCCCTGTCTCCTGGTGGTGAGCAAGTCCTTCCCATCCAAGGACAAAATGGAGCTGCTATGAGAAATGAGGCTAGACTCAGACTACTCACACAACAGGATGCCCAGGGGGCTAGAAAAGACACAGAATTGAAACAACGTGGAGGCAACAGCACAATGAACATCCTCAATCATTCCC